TGCATTCCCACCAACAGTGTAAGAGGGTTCCCCTTTCTCCACAACCTCTCCAACATTTGTTGTTTCTTTCCCTGTCCATTTTTCCCAGGCGCCCTTCTTAAAAGCATTTATATTGAACTTGTGTCACAGACTTAAATGTGTTTTCTGAGTTAAAGTACATAGCCTGGAAGATGTTTTTCTTGGTGAAGATGAACACTGGGCTGTAAGTAATTAAATGACCACAAAAATTGATATTATAGGTGCTTTTACTATTAGCTAAAAGAATTTTTTTTCATAGTAGTAACTTTTTTCTAGCTTGGACAACCAATAATCTTGCCTACATGTAGAATGCCATTTTCAGAGAGTAAGATTCATGTTCTGTTAGATGGCTTTTAGCTGTTGGTTCTGTTGGATTATCTGGGGCAGTCTTAATTTGGCTTTTACTTACATTTCAAAGGTATTATCAGTAAGGCATTTGTACTGTTATGAAGTAAGTTTAAACTTTTAAAAGTGTGTAAGTACATGTTTTCATTATTTTTAATCTGTAGATTATTTTAAGGACAGTTTGAAATTCAAATTGTTCTGGTTAGGTTTATAGTCATCTTTTCATAATTCAAAATAAACAGACTCAGCTTCTTCAAAAGTTGCGGATTGTACCTTGGGTACTTTAATGACCTTTCCTGGGATGAAAAGTCCTATTATGTCTTTCCCCACCCCTCAAATAACAGTTTTTGTTTTTACAGTTTGATTGCTAACCAGTTTTAAAATGTCTTTCATTAGCCTTAGGAAATGCCAAGCTCTTAGTATGGTTCTGTTTACTCTGTTGGACACTCAGTTTTCTTATATTCTTCCATTAGAAATAACTGCTCTCTGGGAAGACTCATTAGACCTGAAGTATAAATGATTGAGTAGCTTAAAATGTTATTTTTTTCAGAAGGATTTTGCTTTTAGTAGGAATGTAAATTGTAATTGTTTTGTATCCCTATAATGCTTTAGCTTTGTCTTATGTATTTACATAATAGGAACTCAATAAAAAACTTATTAACTAAAACGTCCATAAGAGAAATTTGTCATCTTAGCAAATGAAAAAATTGTAGTTTTTTGAGCAGGGGCCTTTTCTAGAATCTTGTATGTCATGTAAGCCACCAGTTACTCTGCCCAGGCTGGCTGTGAAGAATGAGCAATAGTATGTTGCTCATATGCTATAAAGGTGAGCAGTGGGAGATGATTGCAAAATCATCAGTCATCCAAAAATAATTTGTATTGGCTTTGGAATTTGTTGTTTTATATACAATTTGGAAATGGATGTGTAAGATTTTATAGTTCTCAGTACTAAAGGCCATGCTGTGAAGACTTAATGATAGCTAGAAAGTTGTCCTGTTTCTCAGTTCTCTTTTCTTGCTCAATTTTCTGGTCTTCATTCTATACTAGAAATAGACAGAATTACCTCTCAGATTTGCAAAACATGATCCTAGAGCAAGGATTTTTCTTTTATTCTAATGTACTCTACTAAAACCTAGGGAGTGGTCGGCAGTTTGTTCAGTTGTTGCTGGATACTAGGCTGAATATAGGCCGGTAAACAGTATTTAAGAACAGCCAATATAGCAGTACTAATAGGAAACCAGATGCAAGATATCAGTAAGTTAAAAATATAGTTAAATTGCCTTCATATAATCAGTCTGTTACTGAGTTTCTGTGGGTTGATTTCTTTTTTTTTTTAAGATTTTATTTATTTATCTGAGAGAGAGAATGGGAGACAGAGAGCATGAGACGGGAAGGGTCATAGGGAGAAGCAGACTCCCCGCTGAGCAGGGAGCCCGTTGTGGGCCTCGATCCCGGGACCCCAGAATCATGACCTGAGCCGAGGGCAGTTGCTTAACCAACTGAGCCACCCAGGCGCCCTGTGGGTTGATTTCTATTTATTTATGCTCACTGATAGATCCTTTTTCATAGTAAGACATGAGCTTTTTTATTTCAATTTTTAAGGTGAATTGACTATTCAGTGTTGTATGTAACATAACTCTTAAATTGATATTTTCCCCAATAGCTTGCTTTTTCACCTTTTTGGAGAAGAAACTCAGGAATAATTTCCTTCTATAATTTTATTCTGCACTTGTCCCTACACATAATAGCAAATCACTTTTGATAGCCTCTTCTCTAAGTAGATTGATTGTCTTATTCTTAGCTGGGCAGATAAAAGTTAAATGAAAGGAACTGCTAGCTGATTGTGTAGGGGGACTGAAGATTTCACATTTCTGCTTAGCTTTTTTTTTCATTCCCATCATACTATACCCCTCCCTTTCCTTCCCATCATTCTCCTTTCTCCCTAACATTGTTTTTTAAAGACATGAAATAGGACTAGAAAGGAAGCCAGTTATATTGAGTTATAGTTATGAAAATGTTAGAATAAATTTCTAATTAGTAATACATACTTCTTTATTAATACATTTAAATAAGACATTTAAAAAAATAAGACATTTAAAATACAGGTAAGTTAAAATTCATTTTGTGAAAACATATTATATGAAGGCCTTTTACATAACTTGAATAAAAGCATTAAACCATGCTGTGGTCTTTTATTTACCTTTCACATGTTGATCAGCAAACAGAGAAAGGGAATATTGGAAAGCATCAATGTCTGGGTCACCAGTTATGTCATATGAACTTTTGGACTGTAAGCAGAAAGACTTAGAATGCATATGTTTTAGCAGTGGGGTTAATAATTAATGTAATTTTGTAACTATTATATATAACTATTGTAATTTTTAAGTAGCGGTGAATATCAAAACTGTTCTGAGATACCTGCAATGACTACAGTGTGATAGAAAAATATCTCTAATTTCTGTGGCATATGAGGTCACTGATTTTGGTCTGTTGCTTACACTCATAATGGAAGGAAATGCTAATTTACAGGTAGCATTTAGTGAAAATAAAGATGAGGATTTTTTCCCGCAACCAATTTAGTCAGCTGTCTAAATCCAAGGGATCTGTGGCCCTCAGAATTGTAAACAGCGAGATAAGACGCTAGCTGCTTGCCCCTCCCTCCCTTTCTTCTCTCCTTCCCTCCTTCCCTGCTTCCTTCCTTCCTTCCTTTTTTTAAGATTTTATTTTTAAGCACTCTCTATACCCAGTGTGGGACTTGAACTCACAACCCCAAGATCAAGAGTCTCACGCTCCACTGACTGAACCAGCCAGGTGCCCCTCTTTTGAATGTAGGTTGCTAAATAATAAGCCTGAAAAGAAAAAGATAGATCTAAGTCCAAAGTATATTCATAGATTATCTTCTTTCTCATAAATGTGTGTCTCTAGAAAGAAAGTGATTTTTTAGGTAAAGAGATATTACTATAGGATGTAGAAATGATAGAGTCTAATTAATTTTACCTCTGATTGCATAGTAACTTTGGGTGATTTATTGTCATTTAGTTAATGAAGATAAGAATCTCAAAAATTAATTGAAGTTGCCAAAAGGGTGGCAAAATCCAGATTCTTATTACATTTGAGTAAGTGTCCAAGAAGTAGAGTACAGGGAAATAGATATAATGCAGTAATTAACAGTACTAGTTTCTTCCATCTTCATATCCTGGGTCAAGTGGAAAATGTATTTTATTTAATATAAATTTACCAAACCTGTGTTAGACACCGTAAAAATAGGGTATTGTGGTCACCACCTTTCAACTCCATTTAGAAATTACTAACAGATTACTGCGCATCATAATTGTTACATTATTTGTTTTTGTTGGTCTCTTATTTATCAGAGATCTGAAAAATGGTTGATTGACATTTTCTGGGTGGTCTTTGAGGATCTGAATGAGTAATAGGGGAAAGGAAAAAGGAAGAGTATTTTTAGAGGAAGACTGGAAAGTTAAGGGCCTCTTTTTTCTTGGTTTGTTTGAGGGGTGATTAAATTTTCTTCACTGAGACCTGACCTATAATCTTAGCTTTATTTTAGAGAAAAAATCAGGTTGTTTGTTTAATACCACATAATTGTCATTTGTTTCCCCTTATCCTCAATAAAAATGAGTTTTCCTCAACTGTAACGGATCCTTCAGTGCTATTTTTTAAATTTTAGCTATTCTCAATGTACATCTTAATGAATGTACTTTTTTCTTAAATGATAAAAACAGTATTCCAAAAGAAAAGGTATAATTTCACAGAGCTATTGTGATAATGACATAAAAAAATGTTCTGTTAAGTGTGACACAAATAAAACTTATTATTATTAAACTTTGTGGCAGACTTTCAAAAAAAAATCCCGTGCATGTCAAAAATATATTTTTTAAAGTAAATGCTTATAAAATTTAAATGAATTATTTTAGCCCTCAGTTATTCAGATCTCAAGGCTTTATAAAGAAAAATTCTAAATATTTGACACTTATTCTATAAATTCATTTCTCATATACTAATTTTGAAGTTAATAAACAATATAATCACCATTTGTTGCTGTCTGCATTGTCTGTTCAGTCCTTAATATTGGTTTATAATGTGTTTTATACTTTTTAATGAAGGGCTTTGCACCATTTATCCCGCCTGAGAGACCTGGTTGATGATACCAGTGGGAAACAGTCGCCGAAAATGTGAAGAGGAAAAAAAAAGGGTCCACCCAATAAATGGTCATCACAGAACAAAGATGTATTTTTATTCCTGTTGCTTAAACTGACAAAGAAATTATAAGCCAAACATTATTCTGTGATTGGTTCAAGTATTATATATTTTTTAAAAAACAAACTTGAAAATGTGCATAGGTTTTATGACCTATCCTCATTTAATGCCAAAATACCAGAATGTGAACTGGAAGGACCCATACTGTGTCCTACAGTCTGGCTTTGGTTTTCAGGCCAGCAAATGTCCAATATTCAAAGATGGATGATGTCCGTTATTGAAGCTTATGTGCACTTAATCTTCTTGAGCGTCCTCACCATTTTATCATCTAATTCTAGATTATTAAGAAACTCTTCCTGGTTTCTATCCAAAATCTCTTAAGTAGACATTTTGATACAATTAGCATCTACATTTAAGTAGGCTAGAGGAATATCAAAATTGTTATGGTTTATCTTATCCATATAGAAATATGTTGCTTTTAATTTTTATAAATATTTAAGATATGTTGTATTTGCAAATAACATTAATTTAATAATGGGATGATACAGTGCTAAAAGGAATGTTTTATGTTGTGAAATCTAAGAGAAAAACTCATTTAATTAATGCTTTGATTTTGATTCTGTGTAAGATAATCTTGATATCACTTGACAGTTTACAAAACATTTTTTTGGGAGTATATTTGATAATTTAATATTTTGATATTATTTCCCAAATTTTAGTTTTGAGGTTAGCTCAAACTAGTAAAAATTATAAGATCAATGACCAATCGCTGTATGCAATTTGTTAAGTAAACTTAAAATGAATGTGGAAAATCCAAAAGCAACTCTGTATTATAAAGCTATTTTGTAAGAGCTGAACTTTCTTTAAAGCAATCTGTAAAGTTTGTCTCTAGCTGGAACTCAACAGAGCTATATAATTTTGCATTTTCTACCAAGTAAACTTCTAATAAACAAGAGAGCATCTTTACCAACAAAACTAGGAATTAAATCATAAAGCATATTTTAAAAGCCTGATGAAATGAAAGAACATGAGTGTTTGTATACAAACAGTACAAATTAACACTGCCCAAATCGCAGCATCTTTGCTAGGTAGCTTTACTGTCAAATAGGAGTTTCTAAGTACATTGTGTTGAAGACTTTTTTTTTCCCTCAAGTTTAAAGCACTATGTAAGAGCTTTGCTATAGAACTTACATGTCAAAAACTATAGAGTGAACCCTGTCATTTTTTTTCTTGGCCAGTGAGTCAGAGTTACCACCATACAATTGTTTTTGCCCAGTTTGAGGGTCACTCACCATTAAGTTTGTTTTGCTTACTCCATTATTTCTGCTACCACCATTCTATTTTCTGATTATTGTCTTCTGCTTCAAAACATATAGTTTGCATATAATCAAACAAAGTATTACTTTGATGATGAAAGTATGGGTGGCTGTTAAAAATGCAGATTTTAAGTAGGTGAACATGAGGTGGATCTGGGTTGATCATGTTCCAGGCTTAGCCAAATCCACTGTTACACAAATTCTATAGAAAACAGAGAAGATGAATACATCAGATAATAAACTTCTAATTGCATATATGTTGATCAGACTTAGTATTTTAGTATGCCTAAAAAGTATTTCCAAAGGTATTATGCTATAATGACTGAACAGCACTGATTTGGTTAGTGCTGTCATTTTGCAAGAAAGTATCTCCAATGCTAAATAAGATAAGCCTTCTAAATTTTTATATTATAGCTAATATTTTAAGAAACTTGATTATACTTATTAAAGGAGTATTTTCCTTTTGTGTTAAATATGGAAGCTTAGTCATTTACCTAAAAAGGGAATTAATTTTATTGAAACGATTAATTCCAACTTTTTTTTTTTTAAGATTTATTTATTTATTTGAGAGAGCGAGAATGAGAGAGAGTACATGAGAGGGGGGAGGGTTAGAGGGAGAAGCCGGCTCCTCGCCGAGCAGGGAGCCCGATGCGGAACTCGATCCAGGGACTCCAGGATCATGACCTGAGCCGAAGGCAGTCGCTTAACCAACTGAGCCACCCAGGTGCCCGATTAATTCCAACTTTTTAATAAAAGAAATGTATGAGAGTCAACTAAGAAAAAAATTTTTTTTAAGATTTTATTTTTTTATTTGACAGACAGTGAGAGAGGGAACACAAGCAGGGGGAGTGGGAGAGGGAGAAGCAGGCTCCCAAGGAGCAGAGAGCCTGATGCGGGGCTCGATCCTAGGACCCTGAGATCATGACCTGAGCTGAAGGCAGACGCTTAACCGACTGAGCCACCTGGCACCCCTATTTCAGTATTTTTTTATTTTGAGTTTTCCAGGGGTAAAAGGGTGACAACAGTATTGAGACTGCTGAGTTGGAAATTAAAAGCAGACAATGGTAACAAAGGTTTTAAAAATTGCAGTGAGAATATAAATTTTTATCAACCCCTTTCTTTTAGGTTTATTTAAAAGTATTAGGTAGAAAAGGAATTTTAAAAAGACATTTCAAATTTTTAATTAAGTATGAAAAAAATTTAACAAACCTAATTCCAAAATTTTTTGAGATCAAAGGATAAAGGTGTGATGAGTATATGAAGACTCAAAACTCAACTGTATGTTCTTTATTATCAGTAGGAACTTTACTTTCAGTATTTCTATGTTAGCACATACCAGCTTCATAGAGATTTCTGACCAAATCAAGGAACACTGTCTTGGGTTTGTTTGGGTTATATGTCTCTCTAGTTTTGTTATTTCTTGTTGAAATTTATAAATGTGGATTTTTTTTTTTTTTGGTGTTATACTTAATGTTTAGGATAACATCTTATTAAATTACATACAGTTCTGACAAATTTTTTTTTAAAGATAAATCATGACAATATTTTCTCCCTTATGTTTTGAATACATGGAATCACTTATGGATTTGAATTTTTGTTTCATCTTTCCTGTTCCAATGTTAACTGTGTCTCAAAACCTATTTGGTGGCTATGAAGAAGTGAACTTGCCAAAAGGCAAGTATCGTGAAAAGAGACAAAAAAAGCAAAAGGCAAATAAAATTGATAATTTCTGAGCAACTGAAGTTTCTTCAAATGTGAAAGATTGTATCATTCTATTCCATGTATCAACTGGATGTTTTATACGTGGTTATGTGTCCTGTTGGGTTGTAGTGCCTATCATGTAATGATTGGTGCAAAACTAGGCCTAAACCTGAACATATATTCAGGTTATATTGTTACATTTTTTCCCCCATGACATTTGAAATTATTCCTTTCCTATTTCTTTGTTTTATTTCTTCTTTATTTTCACCTGTGACTAAGATCATTTTCTTTTTTGAGCAAAGATATCTTTGCTTTTTACCCTCCCAGTTTGTTCTGCATTGTCCTTAACTCTAGACCAAACTTGTATTAACAGCTTTTCTCACAATGTAGCAACTTTTCTAACAATGTAACAAATACAACAGCTTCTATCCATCCTTCATTACCTTAACTAAGAGGAGCCTGTTTGCCTCCTAATAACCTATTTCAACCTTAAGCATTCCTTCCCCTCACTTTCAGCCCTTGCACTGAAGACAGGCTGACTGGTCTTTGCAAGACACTGTTGCAATACCACTACTATAACATTACTAATTTATTTCAGAAATTTGCTGCGGTTAAATTGCTTTACTCATATTCTCCCAGACTTTCTACATATATTCTCACCTTTGTGCATATTATGTCCTATACTTGAAACAGTTTTCTTTCATTCTGGTTATGTTAAGCTTACTCTATCATTTATTTAAAGTTCTGACCGAATGTTGTACTTTCTTTTCCACATATTCTAACATTTTTTCCAGACTTGATAGGTTGGCTTTCCTTTTTCCTTACCCATCACTCATTTAGCTGTTATATTTCTTGTTCTTGTATTGAACAGTGTCTCTTTACCACATTGTTTCTCCAGAGGAGAAAATGTCTCAAAAGTTAGAGGATTGATTTTTATCTCCTTTATGATAGCACCTCTCACATTACATTGTATAACTAGGAACATGTAAACTTAAAATGAATGATGATTTTAAGCCTAGTTCTCTCTATTAGATTGTAGGCTTAAGAAAGGAGAAACCGTATTTTTTATGTGATGTTCTGCAAATCCTTAAAATGAGGTAAATTAAACCTATTTGTTTTTTGATGTTGCTGCCACTGTTTATCAAATAGGATCAACATATGTTTAAGTATTTTGGATGACATATCTATAAACCTAACCTTTTGAACCCTCAAAGCTAAGATTTTTTAGTTTTTATATATTTTGCATTTCATCAGATATACAAGTTATTTTACAGATTTAGGACTACATCTAGGAAAACTTTCAGTGGCTGGTTTTCATTGTATTGCTTCTCTGAGCCTGGCTTGGTGGGAAAGTATCAGTCTGGGTCCAATCTAGAAAGAGAAGCCACCTAGTGATTATAACAGGGAAGTTTAATATCAAAAAGTTTTTTTAAAAAAAGATTTTATTTATTTGACAGAGAGAGTGAGAGAGCACAAATGGGGAACAGCAGAGGGAGAGGGAAAAGCAGGCTCCCTGGCTGATCAGGGAGCCCAATGGGGGGCTCGATCCCAGGGTCTTGGGATCATGACCTGAGCTGAAGGTAGATGCTTAATCTGAGCCACCCAGGCACCCCTTTAAAAAAGTTTTAAACTGTGGCAAAAGAAAGAAGACATGAGAATTCTATATGGTAACCCAGAGCTGAGGGAGAGTACTGAAGGAAGAGGTACTTGGACACCTCTTGGAAGTAGGGCGCCCAAGTTTGGGTTCAGGCCTCCCCTAAGAAGGGGTAGCTGCAGCCCACTGGATGACAGAGTTTACTGGTTTGCCTAGACCAGAGCTGGTCTTCAGTCACTAGGCTAGTAGGAAGCCACCCTCCAAGATTCAGGGAAGCTGTAGCTAGTTACTGAGTGTGTGAGCACACAGAGGTGGAGGCGTTTCAAGTGTTGGCAGGACATCTGGAACATGAGGTGTTTGTGTTGGAAGGGTTGCAGGAAGATGATCATCAGCCTGGCCCAGGTCTGTGAGTGCCAAGGAGAACCATATATTCTGAGATTGTGACTAGGGAAGAGCATCACCAGATGTCTTCATACCCACCTTGTTTACTGATGGTGCAGCTGCCAGAAAGCAGTGGGAGAGACACTTCAGGGTGAATTTGGAGCTGAGAGACTAAATTGATAGATTCTGGAAAGGTTTTGGTGGGAGAGAACATACAGAAAATATAAAATGCCTCACCTGTCCACCTCTGCTTTCCCTGCTTTGCAGTATCTTATATAGCCTATTCAAACCAAGAACTGGGCATACAAGTAAAGTAGCAAAAATGTCAGGTCATTTAGAAAACAGGCAAAATGAGAAAACTTGGGCCAAGGTTTTAAACATCTATCTTTTTTTATTTTTTATTT